GGAAGGGCAGGTCCCCGAAGCCCCAGCAGTCATGAATCCAGGGACGGCAAGCTCGTTGTCAGGTTCTCTGGCTGCCCCTGTCCCTCACAGCCACAGAGTGGTGACGTCTCTCCTTTGGCGTCTGCTTCCAGCTGGTGTCCCTACTCTTGCTGTGGTTGTCCGCCTCTGAGCTGTGGTTGTCAGCAGTGGGACTGGGCCTCTGGGTGGACAGAGGCTCTGTGGGAGACAGGGGCCCTGAGGCCCAGCCAGGCAGGTGGAGAGAGGAAACCTCGGCCTAGCAGGGGGAGGTCAGGAGGGAGGCCTCTTGGGCCATCCTCAGGCACCTGCTGAGAGAGCTGCTCTGGGTGCACAGCCCAGAGGAGGGAGGAGGAGCTGACACAGTGTGCCCTCAGGCACGCGTCCTCCGTAGGGACAGCAGGACTGGCATGCAGGGAGGCAGACAGCACCACCCTGCACCACGGGGCAGCACCCTCCTTCCTGGACACAGTTGCGGCACCATCAGCATTGGTGCTGGAGAATTCCTGGTCATAAGGCCTCCATGCACTGCAGGGACTGGAGCAGTCTTTGGCCTCCGCCCAGTAGACACCACTGGACACAGCAGCACCCCAGGGTGACTCTCACTGCCAAGTGTCCCAGGGCTCAGCCCATCCTTGGTCGAGACGCTCTAGGTGAAAACCAGCCGAGCAGGGACGGTGAGGACAGCACAGGCGGCCCCAGTCCCACCTCTGCCTGTTGTCCGTGTTCTCTCCGCCAGGCAGCCTGGGCAGGGCCGGTGTGGGAAGGTGGGCACCGTGTGGTCGGTCTAACTGGCGTTCTCCCTCTTGCCTTTCCGCAGGTGCCGGGCTCGGGAAGGAGGAGATGGAGCACTCTACAGGGAGGGGACTCTGACCCAGAAACCGCCTGCCTCACCCTCCGAGGACCCCCTGGGGGATCTGAAGGACTGCCTCATGGGGTCCCCGGAGAGGCCAGGAGCTCCCCAAGCTGTCCTGACGGAGGAGTCCTGGCACAGCCTTAGAGGCCCCACTGCGCCCGCCCTGTCCCTGGTCATGGGTACAGCTCTCTGCAGGGAGGTTCTTACTCCAGTTCATTTTTAAGGTGCTTCAGGAACCAGTCCCATCAGGAAGGCTCTCACCCCCTGTTCTGGTGCCAGAGCACTTTTCTGAAGTGGGAGAAGCCATTGGAGGGGGACCTGGGGATGCTTAGAGGAGTGCCCCAGCCTCCAGACACCCCGGGAGTGTCCCAGGGTGGCCGCCCACAGCCTGAGAGACCAGAGAACGGCCACTTGGTAGAGGCACTCTGGGGACAGCGGCTAGCTGTGGGAGTCACAGGAGCCGGCATCCTGGGAGCTCTCACCCCGGAAGCCGGGGGGCCTCGCTGAGCTGGGAAACTGTTCAGAATTTCTCTGCCTCCTCTTCGGGCCAGCTTTGCACAAAGCACCCAAGGAAGGTTCCCTTCCTGCAGCTTTGGACGGGGGCGACAGGAGCTTTCTTGGACAGGGAGCCCGTGCCTGCTCCCCCACTGGAGCACTGGGTGCCATCATGAGCAGCTGTTCTCCAGGGAGTGGAGTCAGGAAGCCCGGGTCAGCCCCAGCTCCACTGCAGGCGGTGGTTTGATCCTGGTCATCCCCTTCTCTTTCCTGTGCCTCAGTTTCCCTCTCCGTGAGGTGATAACCGAGAAACCAAGTGCCTGGTGGCTCCCCACCCACCGTAGGGTGGTGACTGAGTGAACCTTGACTCCTTGAAAGAAAGACCTCCGCTGCCTCTCCAGTCCCTGCCTGGTCCTTAGTGGGACAGCTGTGGAATTTGCCACCAAAGCCCTCGTGGGACGAGGTGCCCTGCCAATGCGAGTTAGTGACAGTCCAGCCCACCCTTCTCCAGGTCGCTCTGGGGCCTCTGCGTCAGAAGGGCTGGTGCTGACCCTCCCCAGCTGTGGGCTCCCCAGGAGCGTCATGGCTGGGCGCCCTCTGGCTTAAGAGCCACCACCCTAGAGACACAGAGGGGCTTTCAGCACTGCTAGGTCCCAGTCCCCGTCACCCATGGACCTTTCCAGTGAAAGTCAAGCACTTTCTTTCCCAAGGCGGTTGCCGTGTAGTGCAGAAGGCTGCCCTCTGGACACCGTCATCCTGCCTGGCCCCGCATCCTTAGCCTAGGGCGACTGGCATGTTGGAGGGCGGGCTTCCCCACCATCTGGACCTCACTTGCTGCCCACCTCCAGGGGCCCCTGCTCTGTGCTCCAAGCCCATTCATTTGGGGCCCTTAACCAGCAGTCCGGCCATTTTCCAGTCCTAGAAGGGGCTGGAAGTGCCCAGGCAGCTGCGGTCTGAGTGCCCCACTGTCTGGGAGACCCCCGTTCCCGACGCTGCCCCCTCGGCACTTAGTCTCAGCGCAGGCCCTCTCTGGCCTCTCAGCTCCAGTCAGAATCCCTCTGACACTTTCTGCCATTCACTTGTGGACATGTCTCTCTTCCAGCCCTGTGGCCTGGGGGCTAGGGAGTAGTGGTCCCTTGGGAGCTAGAGCTGTCACCATGGGCACAGGGCTCTCCCATTCATTCGGTTCCTTTGGAGGGTCAGGAACCCGCCCCAGTCCATGCACTTGGTGTGGACAGGGGCAATGGGAGAGGCCTTTTAAAGTGGGTGCTGCAGCCCCTCCTATCTAGAAGGATTCAAATCAAGGTGATGTTCAGCAGTCACCCTCCCCAGACACCTTCCATCCTGTAAGAATATGCTCCTGAGCCAGAGGCCAGCGCTGAGAGCAGCTTTGTAGTATGTTCACTTCACTCACTGAGCTTTATGCCTGAAGTCAGACATGCATTCAGAAATATGTATATATCAGCTAAGCTTACTATTGAAAGTCTTTACATTAATTAAGATCTTTAGAAATCAATAAAATGTGGTGGTTGGGGTGCTGGACACTCCTACATGGCTGACCATGGTTCGAGTCCTGGATCTGGTGGCTTACTTTCTCTCTCTCTGGTCAAATTAAAATAAATGAATGAATGAATAAAATTAAATAATTGTTTTTTAAAAAAGAAATCAATAATATGTGTAAAAAGGCATGGAAAACAGCTGTCCATACGGGAGACTGAGAGAAGGGGGGAGTTGGCAGAGGGTGAGAGGTAGGGAATCAAGGGGGTAAAATAAAGCAAAATGTATAAGAAATGAGAAAAAAAAAAAAGCAACAGAGAGCTAAGAAGTATAAAAATCAAAACAAAAAATTGGGAACCAGCAGTTAGCGTAATGGCTATGTCGCTGGATTCCCATGTAGTCGACTGTGGTTTGCGTCCTGGACCCGGTGGCTTAAAACTCACGCTGGGCGCATGTGCGTGCGTGCCCAAGATCCCGAGAGGAGAATGGAGGAGAAGGGATTGCGGTGTGACCATTCCCCCTGGGGAGTGATTTCTCGCTTTCTGTCTCTATGTCTCTCTCTGTCTGGCGAGCGCACGCACCCTATAGTGAAAACCTCTCAAAAAAAAATTTAAAAAATATATATAGAGATGGAAAGAGACAGTGAGAATAAATAGGGTGCTCTAACTGGCACCTAGCTAGGTCTTGGGGACAGGAGGTGACGTCTGGGCAGAAGGTCTTCAGTGGTCCCAATCCCTGAATGGGGTCGCTCAGGACTCAGATATAGATGGCTGGTGATTGGCTTGCCCTGGCTCCTGGCTAGATCTGGGGGACAGGAGGGTGAAGTCTGACCCCATACCATGGGAGGTGCCTCCTGGGTCCTCGGCATGCTCACTCTCATCACTGGCTGCCCTGCTGCATTGACATGCAGTTTCTTCATGGCCTGGGTCATGCCTTGGCCCCCGGTAAGGTTTTGTTTCTTCCCACGTGACATTTGGTGAGCAGGCATGTCAGGTCTACTGGAGGATTTAACCTAGAGGGTAGGCGAGTCTCAAGGGAGAACCCTTGAAAAGGCTTTCCAAGGTCATTATCTTTCTCTTTCGCCATCGTCTTCTTTTTTAAGTCCAGCTTGGAACTCTGCCTGTAGAACCAGAACTTTTAGCTCAGCAACCTTAGCTTTTGGCATGTATCAGCAGCTGTATGATTTAAGGAAACATGTAGGAGCTGGCAGGTGCATGGTGGTTGGGCTGCTAGACTCTCACGTGGCAGACCATGGTTCGGGTCCTGAGCCTGGTGACTTGCCTTCTCACCTTCCCTCTTTCTGCTGGAGTGTCCTTTACACACCATCCACTCTACCGGCAGGAGACTAGGGAATTCGTTGTTTTTTTTTTTTTTTTTTTTTTTTTTTTTTGTGGTGTTTTTTTTTTTTTTTTTTTTTTTTTTTTTTTTTTTTTTTTTTGCTA